TTGAGCTTTAATGAATTTTCCATCAGCTATTTTGATTGAAATTATGGCATGCTGAATAATCTGTTTTATTCATTGTGTAGAACAATACACTTATAGGAGAAGAGGTCTCACAAAATCACACGAGATCCTCCTGCGATATGATACGGAAAAGATAATAAAGGAAACAAAATAATTCTATGATGCCTAAAATCTCGATAATAAGGATAATAACGACAGTAACCCTAGATAGCTGTTTACTTAGTCAAACCAAAATCAAAGAGCTACTTTTGGGCCCACTAACAAAGGCCCATTTCCAACATTGATGAACATAGGCACAGGGCAGGGTAAGAAGTTCTGAATCAATTCTATATTACTACCAGTCATATGATCCATTGCCCTTGAGTCGACTATCCGTATGTCCTTTTTATGAACAGAATTTTTAAAGCCAAAACAGCGTTACCTAGGTGCGCCATATTACTTGTGGCAACCAGTGCCTTAAGTGTCATGCTTGTCTAGCAACTTTTTGAGGAAATCAATATCCTCCTTACTCAATTTATTATCAAACTCAGCTTTGGATTCATTGTTGGTTGAGTAGGCTCCATTTTCTTGCTTACCTCTTCCCTTGGCATTTGGTGGCTTGCCATGGAGCTTCCAACATATGTCTCTCATGTGTCCAGTCTTTTGACATTTGCTGCCCTTCCTGTCCTTATTCTCTCCAGGTAGCCCTCTTTTTGGAAAAAATGCACCTGCTTCCTCTTCAATTGTGCCTGGTGGCTTTGGAGTGGAGAGTTTTTGTCAGGTTTCCTCTTTCTTTATCATAGAACACTTCTTGGAGGCTTAGAAGTGTTTCTTGGCCCACGATTCATCCACATGCAGCATTAAAGGCTAAACTAAGGCCAAGTAAGAACTTATAAATTCTTTTTTCTTCCTTTGTCCTTGAGTACAGAGTAGCATTAGCGAAACATGACTATTCATGGACTTTGTACAAATCTAATCGTTGTCATCGAACAAGAAGGTTAGTCTAGTACTTAATAACAGTGAGGTTACCTAATTTGGGATGGTCTAGATTTGTTTCTATATCTGGAATGGTTGCCCTATTTTTCATTGAGGTGAACTTATCCCCTATTGTATCCTAGGCTTCTTTGGCAGACTGGAAAAGCAAAAAACTAATGCTTATTTCAGTGGTCATAGAGTTCACGAGCCAACACTGGACCATTGGGTTCTTTGCTTCCCATTCGGCATACTTCTCATCTGACAGCGCCGGTCTGGATTTCTTTCCGATTAGATAATCTAGTTTCCTTTTTCCGGTAACATATAGGCGAACACCATTGGCCCACTGAAGATAATTGGGTTTCTGTCGGTGCTTGATGGCTTGCCGCAAGGTTCATTGTTGCTAAGGTGTTGTGTGCTAATGAGGGAGAGCCACCTTGGCCTGGTGGATCCAACCCAAAGCCGAATCAGATCATAATGTATAGCATTGCTTTGATACCATGTAGAAAGATTATCCTAGAAAACTTGATTTATTCAATGGAAACATTTGTACATAATAGGCACTAATCCTAGGGTTACACAGGTGCTAGGAAAGGTAAGATACACAAATCAAACCAAATAATCACAATTAATTCCTAGAGATACTAGCCAAGATTCTAGGAATTAAATAATTAGCACAATAATCTGATGACTAAATGGGCTTTGGGCCTATAACAACATATCTCTATATTTGAAGTCTTGTTATGTGCACTAATGTGGTAGGATTTCGCTTGTTCTTCGTTGTGTTGAAATGATACCTTAGTGGGGTTTCTATCATGTTCTCCAACACAAAAGCCCATTGGACATGAATTGTGGATGAAGCATTGGCCAATCATATGCTGTAACTTAAGAGGAAGATGGAATGACAGATCAATTTCTTTGTTATTATGATGCTTTGTCAACGGCTATTTCGTCTTTCATGTCTTACTGTTGTTTCTTTGTGAAAAGTGAAAAGTGAGTTGTGTGGATGCTCAGAAACCATAACTGGCTAGACTCAAGCCTTGACTTATTCATTTTGGGTTGTTAGTGTGGAGCTGCTATTCTGATTTCATGGTTCATGGTAATCTGTACAAGTGAATCCGATAGGTAACCATGTAAGTGTGCCTAGCAAACACGAAGGCAATGAATTTTATTCTATCCCTCTTTCTTAGCCTCATATCCTAATAATATAATGAATCTGCTAACTTTTTACAATAATTAACATTGAACTAATTTCAAAGAATTCTCTCCGCACTCCCCTTCTAGTTTGGTCATAGATGTTGATCATTTCCAACTTATTTATGCATTCTTAAATTTTCTTATCTTGAAAGTCCCTGAAGAGCATTTGCTGTTTGATCTTCAATTGGGACAATGTCAATTGATAGGGCTTAGGAAATTGAGAAGTAGAATTTAGAAGAAAAGAAAGAATCTGAGAAATGGGAAAGGAAGGAGAAAAGAATATCTAGAACCAGAATCTGTAATTCTAGATAGAGACAAAGAAAATATACTGAATAATACTCATTCCATTCATAATACTGCATATAAGAGTAGCTTAAATAGTCTGACAATACAATAACTGGAAATAACTACCTCCTAACTTCATGATAGAGAAAATAAGATGAGAAACTGAAAATAGCTGAACTTGAAATAACTTAAGTCTGCATAACCACCCTTACATAACTTCAAGCTTTATTCAACCGTGCCTTCCTTGAATAAACAAGTAAGGGACGCTGGACTCTAACATTACCCCCCCTAAGAGACCAGCCTTGTCCTCAAGGTGGAAAGTAGGAAACTGATTTGCAATCTGATCATAAGATTCCCAGCTGGCTTCTTCTCTTAGGTCAGCCCTGCCACTTAATGAGCAATTCTATTTCAGACTGATCTGCATGTGCAAGAATTCGAGTATCTAGTATCTATTGTTTCTGGTTCAAGTGCCATTTCCCAATCATCAGTAATTGGGAGAGAAGGTAATTGAGAGGTAGAATCATAACCATGAGCAAGCTTGAGGAGAGACACATGGAACACTGGATGTACTTTAGCAGTAGGAGGCAACTTTAATTCATATGCAACAGAACCAATCTTTCTTATAACAAGATAGGGGCCAAAGAACCTAGGAGATAATTTTTGAAACTTCCTCTGAGCAAGAGAACGCTGCTTATATGGTTGCAACTTAATAAAGACCATATCTCCAGGTTTGAAATCCACCTCTCTACGTTTTCCATCAACCTGAGCCTTCATCCTAGCTTGAGCTTGAGCCAAGTTGTCTTTGATAGTAGTAAGCATAGCCTCTCTCTCATCCATAAACTCATCAAGCTCTTCAATCTTTGTACTTCCAGTCTGATAAGATGATAAAACAAGAGCATCTCGGCCATACACTATTTTGAATGGTGTAGAGCCAGTAGCACTATGATGTCCTGTGTTGTAAGAAAATTCAGCCCAATGAAGATAAGAACTCCAAGCTTTGGGATGATCTTGGGTGAAACAACGGAGGTATGTTGCAAGGCACCTATTGACCACCTCAGTTTGACCATTTGATTGGGGGTGATAAGCTGAACTCATGCATAATTTAGTACCACTGAGTCTAAATAATTCCTGCCAAAAAGCACTTAAGAAAACCGGTCCCATCTATATGAAACAATAGATTTAGGAAGCCATGAAGCTTGACAATTTCCTTGCAAAAGAGTGCAGCAACAGTTTTAGCAGTAAAAGGATGAGATAATGCAAGGAAATGTGAATATTTGCTAAAACGGTCAACCACCACCAAAATAACATCTTTGCCAAACGACTTTGGGAGACCTATAATGAAATCAATTGAAATGTCTTCCCAAATATTTTTTGGAATTTGCAGAGGATGTAAAAGGCCAGCAGGTGCTTGGGGCTGTTATTTATATTGTTGACAAACCTTGCAATTTTGCACGAACCTTTTAACTTCATTTTTCATGTCTCCAGAAAAAATGCTGTTGCAGCCATTTTAAAGTCTTCAATGTGCCCCCATGACCCCCAATAGGTGCTGTATGAGCGTCCTCGATCAGCTTTGTACTTAAATCAGAAGGAGCAGGAATGACCAAACGGTCTTTATAATAAAGGCGTCCTGCAGAAAATGCAAAGTCTGGCATAGAATTGGTATTAGATTGTAGGGACTGAATAATAGATGCAGTGTAATCATCACGTTGTAACAGTTCAGGCAAATCATCAAAGTCTGTCACATGAGGTATTGCAATAGCAAAAAGATCTGACATATGGGGCAGCGAGAGAGAGCATCAACACCCTGATTAGATGTACCAGCTTTGTAAAAAATTTGGAAGTCAAAAGGTAATAGCTTCATCAATAATCGTTGTTGCTCTGGTGTAGTGACACGCTGCTCAAGCAAATATTTTAAGCTACAATGATTAGTGTAGACATCAAATTTCCGGCCAAGGAGATAATGTTTCCATTTTTGCAAAGCAAGCACTAAAGCCAACAATTCCCTATTGTAAACAGATTTGTAGCGATTGGAAAAAGACAATCCCTTGCTGAAGAAAGCAATAGGATGCCCATTCTGTTGCAGAACAGCACCAACTCCTGTAGAAGAGGCATCACATTCTACTGAGAACTTAGCAGAAAAATCTGGTAACTGTAGGACAGGCACATTAATCAAGGCTTGCTTCAGGTTGAGAAAAGCTTTGTTGGCATCAGCATTCCACTGAAAGGAATCCTTCTTAGTTAGATCAGTCAAGGGTTTAGCTATCTGACCATAGTGTTTAACAAAGCACCTGTAATAACCAGTCAACCCCAAAAATCCTCTGAGTTTTGAAACATTTTGTGGAAGAGGCCAATTAGTGACTGCATTAATCTTTTCTGGATCAACAGCAACTCCATTTTGTGTTATGATGTGACCTAAGAAGGTAATCTCCCTTTGAACGAAGAGACACTTCTTGGGATTAGCAAAGAATTCGCTGTGCTGTAAAGTGTGCAGCACTATTCTCAAATGAGACATATGTTCTTGGAAATCCCTGCTGTACACTAAAATATCATCAAAGAAATTCATAGTGGCCAAAGTGTGTCCTGAATGTAGTTTTAGGTATGTCTTCAGGCAGAACACGAATCTGGTGGTAACCAGACCTAAGATCTATCTTTGAAAAGTAAGAAGAGCCATGTAACTCATCAATAAGTTCATCAATATTGGGAATTGGATACTTATCTGGTACAGTAATCTTGTTGAGTTCTCTGTAGTCAACACAAAATCTCCAAGTTGAATCTTTCTTGGGCACTAATAGAACTGGGCTAGCAAATGGGCTAACACTAAGCCTTATGAAACCTTTGATCTGCAATTCTGCCACTTGTTTTTCTATTTCATCTTTCTGATAATGAGGACATCTGTAGGGTCGAATATTTGGTAGTATAGCCCCAGGATATAAAGGAATGGCATGACTATGCTCTCTTATAGGCGGAAGCTTTTAGGCTTTGCAAAATCCTGTGAATAAGCGCCCAATAGTTGTTGCAGATACTGTTCAGGCCAAGATAAGTCTTCTGTAGACATGAAACTGTGCAAAGATGCCTTTGTACGTTCAGATTGAGGTGTCCCCTGAAGCTTGTACCTCTTGCCATTCACCCAAAAGATCATGTACATCTTTTGCCAATTTGCTTCCACGGTATTGAGAGAAGCTAGCCACTTAATCCCCAAAACCATGTCAGCCCCTCCAATAGCAAAAGGGAAGAAGTCATCCTTGATGGTCAGACTTTGCACCTGAATTTCCACTTGCTTGCAAACAGATCGGCAGGCAATGATATTCCCATTTCCAATCTGCACTCCAAAGGTAGGGATCTGCTGTGTAGGAATCTTTAATTCTGCCACAATCTTCTCATAAATAAAATTGTGGGTAGAACCACTATCAATCAGGATAAGGACAGGTTTAGATAAGAGGGTGCCTTGCAATTTCATGGTGGATGATGTAGAACCACCCAAAATTGCATGAAGTGAGATTTCAGCAATATCATTTTCTTCAGCATAACTTGAGGTGGTGTTCTCCATTGCAGGTTCGTCACAATCTTCTGTGATTTCTAAAAGCTTAAAGGAAGATGGTTTGCAACGGTGGCCAGGAGAGAATTTATCTCCACATTTAAAACAAAGCCCTTTCTCTCTCCTTAACTGCTTGTCACTTTTGGAAATGTAGGAGGGAGTGGTAACTGACGCTGAAGTGCTAGAAAATGTCAAGGGTAACTGCTTCTGATTGTGAGATGTGACATTAAATGATTGAATTGGCCCAGCAGGAGCAGTTACTGTATTTTTAGGATAATAAAATTTATTATCCTTAAAATTATAACCACTCTTAGTGCCACGTGGTTGATGGCACGTTGAACTGGACGAGAGGCTTGCTGGGCTTGTAATTTTAATTCAAACTCCATTGCTAGGCTGGCTGCTTTGTAAACGGTTCTGGGCTTTTGAATTTTAACATCATACTGTAACTCCTCTTTCAACCCATTAATAAAAACTCCAAGTAAACAATGCTCAGGCCACCCATGTACTCTAGAAACCCTTCTGGCGAACTCTTGTCTATATTCATGGACTGAACCAGTTTGCTTGATATTACATAAATGAACATCTGGATTTTGAAATTCTGCTGGACCAAAATGTTCCTGGAAAATCTGAATTAAATCTTCCCAATAACTAATGGTTCTTCCCAAAGAAATCCAAGTAAAAACATCAAGAGCATCACCCTCTAAATTCATAGCAGCCACATCAACTTTA